GCTTTAAATTATAAAAATTATCATTTTGATCCATACATTGGTAATGTGTGACTGGACCTTGTGTCACTTTATGTTCAACAAATTGGTCCCCGAGGTCAAAAAGGTTAAAAAGCCCTGGATTAGAGCACATCTATCAAACTTAAGGTCTGTGGGCCAAATGTGGCCGCTTTATAGCCAACATTGACCATAAACCTAATTTCCCTCTGGGATCAAGTATTTTTGAATTTGAATTGAACTGAAACTACATCTTGTTTAATATGAATAATATGAAATATMATGCAAGGCAAAGCTGCACAGGGTTCTGAAGTAGCGGCTACTTTTCCAGCAGTTCTACTGGGAAGAAGGAATTTCCCACTTACAAGTCGTAAATTTAACTCACCACAACTCAACAACAGTGAGTACAACTCTCTTACTTTTAATAGTATTTTTATTGTATTTATTATACATTTATTTATTTGAACGCAGTATTTTTCGGTGTTTATAAGGTGACCTGTTAAAACGCTGTTTCTATGCAGGAAATACCAGGTAGAGCTSCGGTYTGTTTTGTTGGCAGAATTGAACCGGCAGTTTAGTTCGTGACAGAACCGGTGCAGGCTGCAGCTGCACTGTGAACATGTGAGAATGACAGTTTAATTTTAATTTCTTTTGTACTCTCAGTGAAAAAAGTGGAAGTTTGTTCCCAAAGTCTCTCTTGAACCTTTGGATGAATTTATTTCTGTTTTTTTAATAAAGTAAAATCAGACTTTATTAAACATTTTAACCTGGATCTACGTTCGTTTAGCGAAAGCAGACCCGGGCTGCTAAACGTCTGCATCAAGCTTTCGCTTCCRTTTTCTCTGATTTACGGTAAATCTGTCCGACTTTACGCTCAGATATTAACCTTTAATGACTCCCTGTCGCTTAGGAAGTCAAAGATGAGGGGGGTTGATGGGCTGTGGTGCGGAGGGGAGTAAAAGACCACCAGCTGTGCATCTTTGTTAGAACATCTGAARGAGCAGGTGATGAAAGAGCAGCCGGCGGTGGACGGAGGTGATTAGGATGATTTACAAGCAGCGGTGTGAAGGTTGCTGCCTGCGGGGGGGGCCATGGTGGGTCTGAGCTGCAGCACGTGTTTTACTGATTCTCTTCACGCCCAACAGTTTCATTAACAGTTTCGACATAAATTCACAAATTTTACCACTTTTTCTCCTTAAAGAATCGACCTGTTGCTGAGAGAATCAAATATCRCCACAGGAAATATTTCATCTCTGAGAATTTGATTCTTTTCAGTAAAAATATCCTCGACTCGAGAATATTCCTCTCTTATGACGGCAGCTTCATGTGAGTAACGGTCAGTGGCGCCTGCAGAAAATTTTTTCGGGGGGGCCATGAGGGGGGACCACTGAAAAACCAGGGGGTGGCACACCAAAACTAATATCTATAACAGAAAAATTTATGATGTGTTTGTAAAAATGACAGATAAAATCACAGATTTTATGACATTCAGAGACAAAAAACAAGAGTAAGTATTTGTAATGTTGGGGGGACTCACTGGTGGGGGGTCTGGGGGTCCTCCCCCAGAAAACTTTTAAAGAAGTAAATGTCATTTCCTGCATTCTGGTGTATTTTAACAGGTTGTTAAACAGAGTTTTACCTACATAAGAAAAACACTTCATGTG